CATCTCAATTTATTAGCAACGTTGGTGGTCTCTCATAATTTTGTTTCTGGTCAGCACTAGCTGTAAGCATAAGGAGAAACACTGTCTCATTTCACGTCCATTTAAATCTAACTGATAGTGGATACAGGTGCACCATATTTTTATAAGTCATCTCTGAAGAGGTTTGGCGGGAGATTATCTCCCTTTTTGGAGCACGGATTTGGATTAATACCACGCATCAGCACAGGTATACATGTGTTTACGCCTTCATGGATGCAAGAAGCAAACGACAGTGAAGCTTCTGAGTGCTCGACTGGAAGATGAGAACGTCATATGTGTAGAAACGGAGTAGATAGCTAAAAATTAATCTGAATATGGGAGTAATTATCTTTGAGAGGAATTCTGGTGTAACATTCAGTCTTCCGTAGAAACAGTGGCGGAGACATTTGGTAACCTATGTTCTAAAGCTAGCATCGGCCAGTGGATTTCTACAACCCCAACCAAACTGACTGGTGCCAGAAAACTCATTTCAGCTAGCTCTGACCATAATGAGGAGCGAAAGCAGATGGGACATAAAATAACCAGGAGGCATCACAATAATCGCGAGGAGTGTTAGGTAGTGGAAGCAAAATACATTTAAAAGGCATTAGCCGGCATTGCACTCCTAGATTAGGACACCTAAGAAGTAGTTCCTTTAAAATAAAATCCCCATTAACTTCGAAATACGTTACTGTATGGTGCTCACTAGTGAAATACTTCGAGATAGATATATCCCGAAATTCTGACGAGAAGGTGTGAATTATGGGATCAACCAGTCGAAAGTAAAGTGGATTCCAACTGAAAACCTTTGTAGATATTCGCACTATGTAGATGAATTTACAGAAATAGGAAACTGTGGACCAGTGGCCGGATGATTATCACGTTCGCTATAAAACCTGAAAGTTCTGAGTTGGATGCTTTAAAGGGTTATGGTTGGGTACTGCTGAGGAGTCCTATACAAGGATCGGGGAGCTCTCCGGCACTCACAAGTTCTCGATAGTTCTTCGACTGATGAGTAACAAATTAAAATTGGTAGATCCCCGAAACCTCCAACTTCGTTCTTAATGATTTTAACATCTGATTTCAGTTGTCAAAGGAAAGTTGATTGAGAATTGACGTCAGATGAAGAACAAATAAAGGACTTGGAGTACTTGGTGATTATTGCTTCCAAAGTTAGGTTCCTCCTAATTACACACCCATGATCCCCCGGTGGGTCAACCTGAGGATTGTCAGCTCTCATGGTGAGCTCACCGAATTTCAGCTCCCGGGTTGGAGTCCAGAAATTCCCATTTTCTACTTTCGTGAATATACAACATAGCCCAAACGCCATTCAGTATAACCAATGGGTGTCTGACTTATTTCCAACTTGGTTGACCCTATAGGTCATAAATTCGTCTTAGAAACTTGATAAGTCCATTTCAAAGCATGTGGGCCTTTTTAATATTGTGACTGAAGGTGTGGTCGCTCTTACGATGATGAGTGCTCAGTGCCAAGAAGTCTCAAACCCAATGCAGATGCCAAGTGATCCCAGGTTTTCAGTGGTTCTTTATTTATTTATCAGTCTGTAATAAAATCCTCTTTGACGTCCTAAAATTCCAATAAACCGTTTTGAATTTAGAGTGTGCCACCAACTGATTTTGTTTTCAATGTTGAAAGGTGAAACAAACTGCTTTGATATCTGAGGATTTCAAGAATCCACTTTTATTAATACCACTGATTCTAAAAAATAAGCGTCTTTATTATAAGATGATACAAGTGTTCAGTTTTTGAGAAGTTTTGATAACATTTTCAGCCAAACTAGGCCTTGCAATATTGATCACCTGGTTAGTATCAATGGTCATAGCCTGCTTTCCTATTTTTCATACTGACAAAATTCATTCGAGGTCAAGACGCTTGAAGAGAACGTTTACCATAGGCATGTACGCTACTTTATTAGGCAATCACGTCGGCTATGGTATTTAAACAAGAATGATGTGGGGAAAAAAAGATAAAATTTGACATATTTTCATCTCGTTTAAGTATACAACATCAACACACCTATGGTAGCCATTGAAATCCAAGGTGTAAGTACAAACATGAATTTGTAATTTATGAACTTATCATACTTAACATGCTATCGTTGTACTTTGTTACAGTTTTATAGAATTGATGTTGTACATTTTTGTTCATCAATAATAAAGTTATTCACACTGAATTGTGAAATGTCAGTGAGAATAATCTTGTTTTGTTTTAATTTACCAATCAAAACTTGAATAAAATCAATAATTTTTCCGATTTTAACAAATGTTTCTATCGTGCAACAGTCTCAATCGGAAAACAGTTAGGATTGTAGGTGAATGCTAACGCCATGACCTTACGTGTAATGGAATCAGAGAATATAAGATCTCACAGCGAGCACACTGCTACTCAGTCTGCTAAAGATGAGTCATTCATATAAAAGTCTAAAGAAGCATTTTGAAAACCTTTTTCTGAATGAAAACAACATCTATTTGACAAACAATTTTAGGTTTAACTTTTGAACAATAAAACATAAACGACTGAGGTTATGAAATCCTAAGGTCAACTACATATGTTAGAATCTAACGAAATATACGACTGAACGAACTGGGTAGTTAGAAACCAGCCAGGTATGAATGGTTTGAACACCAGAAAACTGTTTCGCTCGTTTGGAACCGAGCCAGCTTATCAGTGGTGTATGTGGAAAATTTCATCTCAAGCAGCCAAATTGATTCCAATCACATGAATTTGGCCAGTTGACCTGGGTAGACTAGTATACATTAAACAGAATGGTCGGTTTGCAAGTTGTATACAAATTACATGGTCCACGCTGGCATTCCTCATGCATGGGTAGTTTTTTTAACTGAAACCATGCTGACACCAGAGTTTTGCAATGATACAGTGTTATTTACTCGATGATGTTTCAAGCAGGATTTATTACTGATATAAAAAGTAATAAACTCTACTCGAAACGTGATCTGGTAAATAGTACTGTATCACTGTATGCTATATCAAATAAAAAATCTCAAATAACTATGCAGATCAAAAAGTTCGATCCAGTATAGGAACGGGAATCTACGAGTATCAATAACCAACAACTGATAAATGTTTCGCAGGAGGTGGTTCCCCTTTCCCAGTAGCCCTGCGGATATCGCTTTGCTGTTTGAAGCGATGTGTAGTGGGGGAACAATATCACTTAATGTGGTGCGAGTACGTTCGGCTGACAAATTAGTCCCCAAAAGGATGGAAAATGGAACCTGGATTCCACTGTTAGCGACCGAGTAGAATACAACACTTCAGATAACTGAAAATTGCAGAGCGTTGGTAGACATGTTGTAAGAAAATGAAGCGACTGGATGACAAGCCGCTACGATTGGGTCTATTAAAACATCTTGAATAGAAACAGTACCGCTGTTTATTGCGTACAAAGGATAAACATCGTGTGAAATTCAAAGTAGAATGTGCACAATCAGACACGCAAATCTCACTGAAAAAAGTATCTTAATTGATAAAAATATATTGAAAAAGTGCAAGAGAGGACGGTGCGTTCATAAGGTCCCCCTATCCTATAAGTGTTTGGTCAGAAAGAAGAAAATCCTGCCTTAATTTTTTAGCTGCCAATAAACTACGGGCTTGTATGTTCTTAACTAGAACAGTAAAAATGATAAATTTTCCTGGTAAGTATGTTGTAGACAAAGGCAAAGAAAAGTTATCTAGAATTGTTTAAATTTACCGAAAAGAAGATAAATCTGTGACTGTATTTAAGGAATATCTGTTGTGAGTTGGAAAGGGGTTACAGCGATATGAAAGACGTTCCATCCTTGAACTAGTCAACTTTTAGAAACTTCCAATATTATGGCATTCGTCACGAACGGACATCAGTTAGAGAACCCCTTTAAACCTGGGAGCACTGGACAACTGTTTCATCCTTGTATGGGACTCGAAGCCAGTGCGAATCCATAAGTCCGCTAGCGATCCAAACCAATGTCGTTAGGTCTCATAGTTGACTACATTTCCACTGAGGCACTGGGTTGGAATCTACTTGTTCATATAATCCTTCTTCTGACTATGATAAATACTACCTTGAAATCATTTGATCCGCACAAACCTTCGAAATGAATTACTTTCAATATCATCTTAAACAGTCATTTGGTCAAAGGGATCCTGCATTACTGTGAAACGACCAAAGATGCGATACTTTACAGCAACACATTAATATAGTGGGTACACAAACAAGAGATAAATAAATCTGAAAGGAGGTAGTCAAAGCTGGCAGAGGGTTGTTAAAAGACAACAAGGAAGAATGAAAAGATAATGAAATTCATCATAAAGACCAGGAAGACCATAATCTGTGGATATATCTGCGCCACTGATATCGATTCTGAGCCATATCACCTAGAATATCCAACCACCGATTTTTATTTTTACGCGGACCCCTTGAAGTCAACCTCTCCCTTCACGACTCAGATCGACAGTTAAGAACCTCATAGATTGATGTCATGACTTAGCGTTTTTTATGAAAATCATTGTTTATTTATGATTTTCAGTTAACAAGGTACAAGTGGTGTTGTTGACCGTCATAGCATATTGATACCACACAGTTAAACATTGGAAATCAGTAGTCATTAGGAAGCTACTTTACAGGATCCACGGTTGAGCCAGAAGCACAACTCAAGGATGTATACTGATGTAGTGAAATTTTCAGTTCAGTTCCGTATAGTCGCTATACAGATATGACAAATTAGTGGCTAAATTTATCAAAGCCATCCAATCACTCACCAAGTGCAGCTACTGAAGCAGAAAAAGGAGCTTGTTTACAATAATCATCAATAGAATAAAAGGTTAATTTGTATACCCGGCTAACGAGTCTTGACTGGGACGAAACGCGCGCTCGAAACTCTGCTGGTAGCTACCACCATAAAAACACATTGACAAATGTACAAGATAGGTATTTTTGGGAAACTGTCAATAATATTATTACTTACCGAAATCCATTACCCAGTCGACTTTTTGTATAATTCGGTGGAGTTTCATCCGAGACACAACGATAACTACCCATAAGGTTTATACAAGCTTGTCTTAGAGCATTTGGATTATTCGATTTACAGACATTTTCCAATTCGTGGCATTCATCAATATCTTGGTAAAAAAATATGTAGATCAAGTGGGATATAAACCGATAATGGGGAAAAGTTTACAGTAATTAACTTTTGACAAGTACAATTAATTGCATTTCAATAAAAATATACTATAAAAATGAATAAATGCGCAGGTTCAGTCGACATTATGTTATTTCTGACTTCTCTGGATTCCACAGTATCTTTCGTCGGGGCGGTTGGTGTGGTCGTGCAGTGTGCAGTCCGCAATATTTTATGATGGTTCACTTACAACCAAGCTGGACTGAAGCGTATGAGGACGACGTTTTCACTTGTGTGATGGAACCTCTTACATTAAAATGTAGGCTTTGATCCCCGCAATTGTTTCCACTAACGCTTCAGTGAAATATCAAGGTATTAGTCCTTTTGAACAACAAAATTTGGAAGTTGATCGCCGCTTAAGTTACAGTATTTTGCACAACACTGAAGGATAGTTTTAAGCAGTAGTTGATATTGCTGAACCAAGCAGTGGAAAGGTATCGAGTCTATGTATTGGAGCTATGTCTTATTAGTCTTCAAACATGACTTACGACTGACGGCCCGTGGGTTCGAACCCAACTTCACCTACCCAGGTTCTGTCAGGCAAGCAGTACCACTAGTCCTTACACAATAGGTTGGAGTGATTGTCTACTGCAAGGATGTGCACGAGACTGCTGAGTGGATCTCGCTTTCGATCCACCAGCTGTCCCATCTAACCGTCGAAGCCTTCCGAAATCCAAATCGCTCACATCTCTTGATTAGGAATTAAGGGAATTTATGGTCAAGTTGTAGCTTTTTTCAACTTTAACTATGAAAACTGCCCCTGTCGTTCAACATTTTCGATTTTATTCGTCAGCTGGTAGAATGAAATGGTTTTTGTTGGTTCGTATTCATTAGTCTATTGGGGTGCTAGCAGTTGAACCCAGAGTCTGCTTTTCATCCTACTTAAGACTCATCAACCAAGTGTACCTCCCTCCCACACAGTGACGTGGTTCCCTCCGGAAATCGGACCCAATAACCACCGCTTCAAACGTCAAAGTGCCATTCTCCAGACCACTGGGTCATGGGTGCTATCTCTTATGTGACGGGTATTAGTTGTTGTTTATTGAGACTTGTATTTTCCCGTTCCTGCACTGGGTCGAATTGCTAGACATCTGTTGGCAGATGGGCTCATGTAAGGAGTACGTCTGATTCTCGGTGAGTATAACGTTCTGTGGAGTGCAGGTACATCCAGCCGACGAATGGGTGCCAGATAGGATGGAATGCGCTTCCTGGATTCCACTGCAAACACTCCAACAGACTAAACGATTTTAATTTTACTTAAATGGGTTTTGTTGACATATTTCATAAATATCAGTGAGCTTTCAAGTAGGATGGTAGTAGATTTCCAATTAGAAATTACCCAACAGAGACCAAGGATTGGAGTGTCTGGACGAAAGTGTTTTCATTCGCTGAAGATTTCGTTTCTGTTTAAGCTGGGGTTTGCTAATTGCCAGGTAGCTAGTGAATGAGGTGTCTGAACTGTAGTTGATTTGTAGAGGAGCTTGCTGTTCATTTGCTGATATGAAAAAACAGTCTTTGAGATGCTAGACCTCTCCGCAATTTTCAGTTATTATCATATCTTGTGTGGGTGACTGAGGTTTGGACCTTCTGGAATATCATTCTTTTCAGCGATGCTATTCTCATACCGTACGATCGCATAAATAAACACAATACTTACGCGGTAACAGGAAACAACTGTAATAGATAAGTCTGTTTGGTATAGCATATAGTGATATAGTATTATTTACTGAATGACATTTCGAGCACAGTTTATTGCCAATAATCATTTCAAGGTAATCATACAACCCCTTGTCTTAGCTTATTATAGTTTTATCGCTTTTTATGTTTGATTTGATCAGCACTAGGATTTTCCATAAATCTGAAATCGGTGTTAAATCGTTCCTGTTACGTGTGCTAGAGATTCTGTGATCAGCCTATCCGCTTGGCTACATTAACGTTCGGGGCTGTTACTCTGTCCCACCCTACTGCATGGTTTTGTGTTATCGCATGAATAGCTACGGTTGAATTCCTCTGTAGATTTCTCATCTTAGTAGGGTCTATCAATCTAGACTTAGCTAAGTTCCTATATTCTATTAACCTGACTGATCCGAATAGGATAGTTTGGCCTAACGATAATTGCAAGGTATTTGGTGAATTTAATCATTTTGTCCAATACGATCCTTCAGTTTTGATTACAAATCAGGAGATTGGAAACATAGTTACGTAGTGTCGAAAATAGTAATGAGACAAAGACAACAAAACCAAAGCAAAATTAAGTTACCAAGTTGAGTGGTGTAAACTGGTCAAAGGAATTGATGAACATATTGAAAAGCCAGACATTTAAAAGTGGAAGAATGTGATCTATGAGAAAAGATAGTGTGCTAGTTAGCAGATAAAATAAAAGATTTTGGAGAGAAAATGTTCTTAAAGGTCATGTTTATTGTAAATCGAGAAACTGAACAAACTACACTTGATTACAGAGCTCAGCCTTCAAAATATGAGTTGGTATGGCTTCCATAGTCTAAAGAAATTTGAGGCATACACCCTTCATTAGGTTTAGATGAACTTTATAGATGACACTGAAGTTATTTTCCTCATTTATCTAGTAGCCAAAATGGATCAAACGTTTGAGATTCCTCTACGAGGTGCTCTTTTTTATGGAACCAGGCTGGTATACGTTCGAAAACATGTTTAGAAAGTAAACGTTGAGTATGGTCAACATAGTGCATTCTGAAGGAGTAGGTGTATTGATAAACACGCGTAAAGGTGGTCATGCAATGAGCAGGCTAATCACGTTAGATTATTTATAAGTTTAAAATTCGAAAATCGCGCTTACAAACTAGACATTGATGACGATTATAATAATTGGAGGGAAATTCTGTGTTCAAATCATAAAGACAGTTAACCTACATTTTTCTGGAGAAATGAAAGGCAAAAGTGTACATTAACTGGAGTCTTTAGTTTAGTACAAAGTAGGATTTCATAGTTTTAAAAATCAATTTTGAACTATCTCAACTTGTAAACGGGGGTAGCGATTTACAACAAGAAACACGCGCAGACACCGATGAGGATTCAATGATTTGACGCGTCATTTATGATTACTTCCTAATGAAAGTCTCTGCATTCATGAAAAGGTGTCGTTCAAGTTAAATAGTGCAAAACATATCGAACTTACTAATGCTTGTAAATTATTAATATAGATGATTATGCTCATAGTACTGTATCCTCTAGAACACTTTTAATATATCTAGTAAAAGGGATTCCCAAAGTAACAGTTTCTTGTTACTGAGTTCGAGTTCAGGACAAATCCTTCAAACTTTTGACAAAAATAGTACATTTCTAAATGTTCAACGACAAAAGCAGCTGACACAAATCTGATATCTCCTATTTTATTTACACTAACCCAATGATTTTAGAGGAAAGTAAACAAACAATGCTTAGCTACATTTGTAGAAAGACCTAAAATTCTTCTGCATATAATATGACGAAGGAAGTACAAGAAAACTTAACTGTTTTCAGGAGTCGAACATAACACTGAATGAGTCACATTGTTGAATTCAAGACCACAACAATTATTGATCAGTGCTTGTAATTTTGCGCTGGACTGATCAGTCATTCTTGGCATATTATTTGTGTGGTGGTGGCTTGCAGTGGAGTTCAGGATGTGTTTTATCTTGTTTGTGACTCGTCGGCTGGATACACCTGCAGCTCAGAGAGTGATAGTGTTCCCGCTAAGATTGGAACCTAGAACTTCTTGCTTCAGGTGCCAGAGCGCTATTCACTATGATTCATTGAGATGCACCTATATATGGCTGACGAGTCCGGAAACGGACGAAACTAGCTTCGTCAACCTCACCACTAGCCGAAACCAAGCAAACAACACAATGTACAACTTTGGATAGAAAATTTTCTTCACGATGAAATCCTCATAACTCTGTCACTGTACAACTTAGTCACAAGTTATATAGAAGTTATCTTTTAATAATGCCAACAGGGGTCAAAGGTTAAGGTTATTTAGTAACAAAATGTATTGGACTGTCAATCACAAGATAACAGTAGTGTAATTTAGGAGATAGCAAGTTAATCTTGCGTAATACAAGTATGCAGACATAAAATGATGAATAAAGCACCGAAGGGTCTCTCTGGCTCTTCTAAGATGAAGTGCGGACTACATAAATATGCATAAAAAGGCGAGAAATATTTCAGACAGTACAGTCTAGCTGTGATAAAGGGAAGGGAAGTATGTCAGAAGCAAAAGTATGGAACAAAAAAAGAATTTATTAACTTTTATTGGTATATCGGCTCCTGTGCAGTTCGGTAGTAATGATAAATGGTGTCTGGCAGTGGAATCCAGGGCACACATTTTGTCCTATTTGGGAATCATTTGTTAACAGGATGTACCAGTGAATGATATTGTTCCTACTTAGACCCGAACACATCACAGATCGTTTCATGCGCGAGACTAATTAACTAACTAATTTGTTCCATACTGGCATTGTTCTGTCGTTTGCAAAGAACTCGTTTCTGTTGCTTCTGAATCACGAAGAATATATATATATATATATATATATATATATATATATATATATATATATATATATATATATATATATATATATATATATATGGGATAGTGTTTATTTCCGGGCTGAAGATAGCGTTTCTAGTTTAACCAATTACACTGTCACCTGAAATATTTGTAATTAAAAACAAGTTTTTATCGAACAAAGATTTAGTCTTTATGCTACTGCATGTAATCTCCACTAGGTGCACCCATTTGATGAGTCCCAAATGGGACGAAATACGCGTCCTGGATATCAGCTCTGGCCATTACCCTTCATCATTAGTAAAGACATAGCTTACGCTTACGAACATTTCAATACGGGTGTAGTTATCGTGTTAATTACAGTTTCACAAGTCGAACAGTGATCCTTTCATTTTCAAAGTTTAATTATACCAAGG